TGCCATTAAAATAATGAAACGTTTTAATAAAGTTTTAAATTCCTTCCTGTCACCTTATTTGCCAACAGACCAATATGGTAGGTCTGGACCGTCTTCCTAATTGTCCAGATCGTCCTGTTGTCCCTCTTTGAATACCGTCACTGCAGGGGGGTTAACTTGTACTTATCCAAGCAGAATTAGGAATGAAGCATTTAGAAAAAGAGCAAAGCCAAAGAGAAGATTTATGGATTTACTGAGCGGGCATGCTGAGGGTTGGTGTGTCCGAAGAGGGTGCAAGAGAGAGGGTGAGTGGAGTTAAATCAGGGAGCAGCCAAAAGAAGTACTTACCAGACATCAGCTTTTTGCTTTAGGTCTGTAGTTCTAATGTGACAGGTTCTGAATATTACTTTAGGGTTATGAACATATTTTTGGTTTTATTCAAAGTGCTTACACACTGATATTCAAAGGTACAAAATTGCTTGGCTAATATCCTGTGAAAAGGTTGTTTCTTTTAAAAGGGTGAAGTATTTGCTGTATTATTTATTTATTTTTTGTCTTGTACGGTAATGACACTACATTTGGCTTAAAGTTTAATCCACTGTTCCCACACATGAGACAAGCACCAGGTAGGAGCTCTTAAAAAAAGGAAAAAGCCGCAGTGTGAAGTAAACTCACTTACACATGCAAACAAAGACGTGACCTTCGAACTGTTCCCTTAGAGAACTTTGACCCTGAGCTGTTAGTCAGTTGGATTTGAAAATCGAGGTTATCTCTCACGCAGTATGGTTTCCCTCCACTGTTGCTGTTAGTTGCACGCTCTCACACAGTTTTAGAATAAGACCTGAGCATGTGAGAGATTGTTTAGTAGAGAAATACTACAGCTTGCCGTGACTAAATTACTTTCAGTTTTCACTTCTAATAACGACATTGTGATTTTGTCCAATGCTAACACAAGGGGAGGAGGAGGATTTACTGCCACAGATACTTGAATAACAAAGTGATGACAAAACAGCCTGTTTTATAGAGATGAGCCTCCTTACATATTCTAAATATGTGTCAGTGTTTTTTCACAACATATTAGGAATATTGCACATGTGCAAACAAAGAGTTTGTTTGAGTTTTGTAGCAAGATGGTAATAAAGGAGGGAAAAAGTAGATATAGTCCTGGTGCGGTGTTGATGCCTATCAATGACCCTGTCCAGCTCTCAAATAACGACAGTTATTCTTGAGTCTTTGCTGGACACAAACTTTCTCATGCCACCCTGGAGGAGCCAGACTACCTGTGCAACCTGAATGCTATTACTAATGACAAGGACACTACCAAAAATCAAAACTAGAAACAACTAAAGTCTGACATAGCTCATCTGCTATTTGTGTGCGAATTGAAGGGGCTTAATAAATTGAAAACGTAACAGGTATCTATGGTATTGGCCTGCATTACACTCACTCTGTGTACGTGAGCATTCCCTGATGCTTGACACAGTGAAGAAAGGGAACACCACAGATGCACAAACTTCTGTAGTGCCACATATGGTCTAACATGCAGTAATTACATGGCATTAGTTAATTTGTGTACATAGAGCATATGTCGACCCAGCATATATAAACACGCTGACAGAACTAGTGGAACATCAAAGACTCCCCTAAACCTCAGCTGATTCCTCTCTGCCATCACTCGACTGGAAATGTGGGACTGCGTGCGTTTGACAGGCGGAGCGCAGCAGCTCTTATCCGGGCTGTTGTTTGTTGGTATACTGCTGCATTAGCATTTCCACTCAAACCATGTGCTGTCTGTGAAATATGGAAGAAAACAGAAAAAGCTGTTGGGGATTATTGGAGTGAAAGCCGCAGAGGCATAAACGGAGCCATTTGTTCCTGTTCTGCTCTTTTATTTGATATGTTTGAATTTCTTTGCCTAAATTTTATTGTTTTATTCTAATATTTCCTGTAATCTGGTTTGATCCAAGACAATTGTCAGCTGTGGAGGACAATAAAGTAACAGTAGTCCTGTGTTTAAGTATTGTCTCCTTTGCCTGCCCTTCTTTCCTTTTCTGTCCAAAAATAATATCAAAGATAATTTTTCCTCCATAAAATCACTAGATCATTATTTGAAACATTCCTCAGCCTCAAAGTCAGGGTTGCCAGGTTGTAGTGGCTGAAAAGATAAAAAATAATGGCACATTTTATTATTTTAGCGAAGTAAGTGCTTGAAATAGTTCACAAAATTAAGTTTAGAGTTGATCTTAAAGAAGACTTGCTTACACACCGGATTAACGCTGCACTCATGTCAGCTCTGTGAAGCTGGGAACTGATATTCACACAGCCACTGCGTGCCTTTTTGTGGCACGAGACAGGATGGCATTGAAAAAAATGGAAGAACATGCTGAACTGTTTTCACTTTAGTCCAATTTTAGCTTTCCTGCAGAACAAGTGTGTTGGCATGGAGGTATATCAGTGTTGACTATATACAGATTATCACCCAGCACTCACACTGGAGACGGAGCTTTTAGCCTTACTAGTTGTTTTACTGTGTACGCTGTTTGTTTTTAAACTATTAAAGTAAAGGGATTCTGAAAGCTGAGTGTGATTTACAAATTATTTAGATGTGTAGTTGTGTGCAGTTTGTAATCAAAGCATTGATGGTTGGGGGGAGAAAGGTGCATAAACTGTGTACATAGTAAACTATCTGCAGCTGTGCCGTTTTGCGAGTGCTGCTAGCCCAAGTTCACAGCCATGGCGCTACCGGATCGGGCTTGCGAGCAGTCCTTATTGCAAGTATTCAAGATGTTGGAGCGAAGGACAACATGAAGGCAAATTGAGCTGATGTTAGATGCTGCTGCTTTAGTCTCTTGTAATTGGTTAGTTAATTAAATCCCCTCCCCCTTGGAAACTTGTGGAAATGAGTGGATGCAATGTCAGTACTGGTCCACAACTTTAAGATTATGACTTTCAGGAGTTTAGGGCTGGATTATTTAGGGGTGTAGATGGCTGAGATGAGACTTTGCAGGAATGCACCATCATCTGGAGGTGCATTGAACTTGAACTACACATGGCTGCCCTTAACAGTTCCCAGTGGCCCCAGAAGGTGTCTGCCGTTGTACTGACCAGTGTGTTAATTATCCACCGCTCGCTCTAAGCTGGGCCTTGTTTGAACCTCAGTGTCTCCACGGTAACTGTAACCAACAGTTACGCAAGCTTGACAACGGCAGCCCTCGATGACCCACATTCCAGCAGTAAATCACAACGCGTGCACATTCCCGACTCCACCCTTGCCTATCGAAACTGTTCTCAGTGTTTCCACTCGACGGGGAAGGGGAGGCGGCGAGTTAGAAAGAGGTGGGGAACGTTTTCACTTCTGTCGGCCTCTTTTCTATTTTCCTGTTTTTTCTATATGGAACAAAGTCCACAAACTGTGCAGAATCAGTGTAGTTGAATCTTTTGTTGTAAGTCTTTCTGCACACACTCCTCAGCCTCAGATTATATGGTTGAATTTGTTTGTTTGCATCCCCTATTAGAAGCTGGCATGTGAGTTGTTTTGTTGGCATGCTGACAGAAAAGATATCTGCGGTCTAGGAGATCCACAGTGAAGACGCAACATCTTTCCTGCTATAATAAAATGTAACAATTTCATATGAAGTAAACCTTAAAGACACACTCTCTCAGTGCTTACTCTGTCCACTGAGAATATATATAACTGTCACCTCCTGACCAATGGGTTCTCTGAAAATGACATCACTATTCATGAAATGTTACTTGGACCATGGTGCTCGAGTAGTATCTGCATTTTGTTCCACAGGTTCATCCACTTTTCCTGGCATTCACCTTAAAGTGGCAACATTTAATGCTGCACTTAAGAAGGCGTGCATCCCCCCCATGATGCCAGAAACCAATCAGCGTCTGTGAGAAACTATATATGGGTTGATGTGTTCATAGCTGCCTTCATCTTATTTGAATATCTTTCCACAAGTTTGTCTCTCGCTTTCAATTTGTTTTTGTCCCCTAGAGTAAGATACAATCACCTACTTTTTCAGAGCTATGCATAGCTATGCAATGTTGGCAAGCTCCTGAATACCTTAGATCTTTCTCTGGTGGCGGTTATGATGAAATATGAGGCAGATTTACTGCTGAGCCATAACATATGCATGTGTGTGCACAGGCTGCGAGCTACAGTTGCTGCGTCAGCACAGCGTTGCGTACATACATCAGGTTTTACACATTCCTGTTCTGTAGTACACTCTGTAGCAGATGAAGGAAATGTCTACATGTAGGCAGTGAATTTGTACACATGTAGAGAAAATAGCCCTGGGTAGCTGTGTAACAGGCTGTGTGTGTTCTGGAGAGGTTTCCTTAGACATGCACAGTGTGCTGAGATAAAGTAGATAAGTAAGTTGGAACACATTAAATCAGTGTGCAGATCAGGAAGGTTCCTGGAAATAACATTTGATACCAATTATATACAAATGACTTTAAGTACAGATTTAAGATTTAATTCAAAGTAAACTGGAACTAATCGGTGTTGAACTGCTTTAAAGGGACCTATTACGCTCACTTATGACCTCAAATATACTTCACACGTATACTTGAAAGTTTATCCGAAATGACATGCCTCATGGTTGTGATGTCTTCAGTATTTAATGTGATATTTGGACGGCAAACATTCATCTTGTCTATTTAAGAACCGATGTCACTGAAGTAAGTTGTTGTGCTCAAAACTTGATGCATGTGGGCTGGCAGTCCATATCGGTGAATAACTGATCACCCTTCTTTTCCTGTTGTCGCACAACCTGCTGACACACTCGGCTCTCTGGATCTCAGCCAGCCTTGCTTTTTTGCTCTCCCGCTACAGTCGAGGCTGCTGAACAGCCACCTTAAGAGCGCCATCCTGCATTAATAATAAGTCTGAGCTACTGTTTATGCCCTATTTTTTTTTCAGTCTTCAATGTTAATATCCAAGTATTTGTTTATACTCTGCATGTAAACGCAATTGTGTTGAATGTAAATGTTTGGTGTATTTTTGTAATTTGCGGCTTGTATAAACAGAATTGGTGACTCTCTTCCTGTGTTTTTTCTAAAAGGACTTGGAGTTCCATGGCGTGATGAGGTTCTACTTTCAGGACCGGGTCGCCGGTAACTTTGCTACCAAGTGCATCAGAGTCTCCAGCACAGCAACAACGCAGGACGTCATTGAAACGTTAGCAGAGAAGTTCAGACCAGACATGAGGATGCTGTCCTCACCAAAATACTCCTTGTACGAGGTCCATGTCAGTGGCGGTGAGTCCCACAGATTTCTGATGCAAGGAAAAGCACGACAGACTTTACAGAATCAAATTAATCGTAAAAATGTAGAGTAGGAAATGGATGGCTCTCAAGTAAACTGGTCTTTCTGTGTCTGTGTTAGAAGAGCGTCAGCTGGACCTGGACGAGAAGCCTCTTGTTGTGCAGCTGAACTGGAACAAAGACGACAGAGAAGGACGATTTGTCCTGAAGAATGAGAACGACATCCTGCCCAAGGTCAGCTGCTCTGACTGTTCGGTCCAAGTGTTCACTGTTAATCATTAGGCTTACTAGCGAGATGAATTATTCTTCCATTCATCCGTAGCCTGTCAAGGAAAAACGAATCATTTTAAATCACTTTGTTCAGCTCTTCAAGATCACAAAGATACAAATGTGCATTGGAAAGCCACCAGCTGCCACTAGAATATAATCAGACTGTATATAAAAGATGGATGCCGCTTGGTTAATGAAGGGAAGCCATTCAGGTATTTTGTGACCAGATGTGACGAGTGAGTTTCTGATTTGGCTTTAAAAACTGAAACGTATGCTCACTGGCTAAGGACTTGTACTCAGCTTCATTTTCCAATAGGGAAGCTACTTCTATATGTGATACTGCCTTTAAATGGAACATAGTGTTTCCTACACATAGACTTTACTTCAGTGAGCTGCTCGGGTATATTTAACAACCCTCCTTAATCTTTTTCAAGTTTTTAATTTTTTTTTTTTAATTTTTTTGGTATTTTTCATTTGCTCTCATGTTTTGTACCAGCTGGCTTCCTGCCAGGTTACACTTATGGTCCTTAATATCTTTCAACTGTTCCTTCAGGTTGTCTCTTCAAACTGATCTTTTCTATAGTTTTTATATCTTTATCCCACTAACCCTAACCAATTTTAATCATAATAAATGATGCATTTTTAATTTGTAATGTAATAAAAAAAATTAGAAAACGATGAAGCGTAAAAATCTGTGAAGTGTACAACTCAATTTTCGGTGACTCAATGTGCATAAAAATTCGCTCTACCAACAACCTCATCCAGCCTCCCAAACGTTTTTGTGATTTAAAAGTGGAATGTATTATTGTTTACACGTACACTAATCAGTACTATTTGTGATAAGAGGTGGTGAGTATTTCACTGTAGGGAGTTACAGGACCGCTCTGATCAGAACCTGGAGCAGGTGGAGGTGTAGTTTACGTCTTCCTGCTCACTGACGATGCAGAGCAAGACAGCAACTACCAGTCTTAATTTAACAGCCTATGGGGAGTACTGCAGTGTGCCTATTTGACCTTGCAAGAGGTGTTTTGCTCAGGTTTTAGTGGGTTTTAAAAGTCCTTTTGGGCCCTCAGTCAAATTTGGACATTTTGGCGTACTCGAATGTCACAAAGATGCCAAAGATTTTCTTCTTTTCCTTGCTCACTTTGCTCATGTGCCACTTATTCACCCACAAATGAGTGCATCTATAGCAGTTTCTCACTCTCTTGTTTTTCTAGAAGAGTCAGAGTAACGGGCCTGAAAAGGAGAAGGACGGCGTGATACAGAACTTCAAGAGGACTCTGTCCAAGAAGGAGAAGAAAAAGGAAAAGAAGAGGGAGAAGGAATTCGCCCGAATCCCTGATGGAGACGATCAGACACTGAGTCGCGAGGACGGGTAACACACTCATTCATCTTACATCCTGACAGTCCTCAGAGATTCTTTTTCTTTTTCTTAATGCGAGGAAAAGCACAGAACACTCCAGAAAATGACAGAATAGTGATTTAAACTTTTGACCTTTCTGTTCCTTCATCTGACTCCTTTTTTTCCTCTTGCGTTTCTTTTTCTGTCCCATTTATTCTTTGGTTTAGAGAAAATCTGGCAGCAGAGGTTTATAAAGACATGCCAGAAACCAGCTTTACCAGGACGATCTCCAACCCAGAGGTGGTGATGAAGAGAAGACGCCAGCAGAAACTGGAGAAACGCATGCAGGAGTTTATGAGCAGCGATGGGAGGCCAGACTCAGGTACTTCTTAGAATTTGCAAATATCTTGTTTACGAGTTTATTCAGACCCTTTTCTCCTAATCCCAACATGAGCTCGGATTACCAACTGTGCCTAGTCTCGTATGTGTACTAGTTCAGGGGTGGGTAGAGGAAAAAACAATAAATGTATAACAAACACATTCCTTCCCAATTAGATAGCCTGCACCTCATTTATGTTAAAATTAAAAAGCATATAGTGCCATTAGATCCAAAATGTAGACTAATTGAACACTGTTAAAGTGTTTGTTTCACTTTTTTAATGATGAGACAAGAGACAGAGCTCAGAGGACAGTATGTTTAATGATCCCTTGTGTATTTAAGTTTTTTCTCACTGGAAATAAGCTAAAGTCAGAACACATTGGCTCACGTGGGCAGTTTGCAGGTGGTATTACTTTAAAATAATGAGACCGTCAACATCAAAGGCTAATCTGATATATTGTTACAGACATGTGGAAAAGAGAGCACAGGACTCTAGAGTCCACAGTCACAGCCTCCATAGGACTTAAGAGGGCAAGTAGAAGCCAAGTGCTGCTAATTAAATCGACAAATTCACTGATGATCAACAAGTATGAGCACCTCTGGTTTGGACTGTTCAGGTGTGTGTTGCCACCAAATTCAATCCAGTGTCAGAGTAACTGCAAAACCCCCAGAATCTTAAATGTTAAAATTCATGATGGTATTTGTTGGAGTAAACAGTAAATTGACCTAAATATGAAAATCAGCTGTGAATACTGACTTTTTATGTCACAAACCGAAATGGCACAGCCAGAGAGGGACCCGGATTGGCTCCAAAACGAGTCTGAATGTCCTTGTATGGCTTAAAGGAAACCTGACGTGAACTCTGGAGATAATCTGCAGCGTGACCTGAACGTCGCAGTTCACTGCCGCTCCTTATCTGGTGTGGAAGGGCATGAGAAAGCAAGTTAAATTCTATGAATGCAGGTGTGCACATCTATTGGAGTGGTGTTTATATAACATGCGGATCAGCGGCCCACTTTTTGTTATTAGTAAATTGTTTTCACTGCTCATCGCTAATCACTCACGCCCACATCAGCTGCTTCCCAGAAGTGCCATATGCCGTTGGAGCGTCTCACGCTGACATGTTTACGCACACAGACATACGTCGCGGACGTGCCGAATGAATGAAACAAACATGCTGACTGGTTCAGCGTGTGACTCAGGCATTACCTAATCACTCTGCTAGACAGACAGATGGACGAGTGGACCGGCTCTAAAAACGGCTCAAACCACTGTCCGCATACACATGCAGCCGGTGAGGCAGGGCGGCCGGTGGTTAGACGGTGACGTTCTCCCGGCAGAAAGCACTATTTAAAAAAACAAACAAAACACCCTTATTTTATGTAATGAAAATCCTGTTTGCTCTGCTGAAGCCTTCTTTTGTGGCATTTACAAAGGTGATCATTTTCAGTTGAACCGTCCCCATTAGTTGTTAACAATGGTAATGGTAACAATAACAAGTTGTTATGAGCATTACATTTATTGCTTTTCCCCAAACTCATCTAAAACTGTACGCAAGACAGTTTAACGTCCAGGTCAAGCAAGAAATGATAGACCGAGAACCGATGGTGACAGAAGTTTGTAAAGTGGGAGTCTGCTAGCACCATTACATTGGCTATATTAAATGCAGTCAAAAATGAAACTAAATGTGAAAAATACACCTAAGTTCACTGAAATAAAACTAGAAGTAGGTGTGAAACAGTATTTAGTGCTTTTGCATTCAGAACTAACACACTCTGTCTCTGCAGGAGGCACTTTGAGGATATACGCTGACAGTCTGAAGCCCAATATCCCGTATAAAACCATCCTCCTCTCCACGAGAGACACAGCTGACTTTGCTGTGGTGGAGGCTCTGGAGAAGTATGGACTAGAGAAGGAGAACCCCAAAGAGTACTGCATTGCTCGGGTAAGTTTGCTTAAAAATCTGTAAACCCATCTTGCCACCTTCTCACGCTCCCAGTAAACACATCCATCAACACCATAAAATCAGCTTTGTTCTCGCTAAAACTAAAATCGAGTTAAATTAGGTTTAGTTCCTCCAGCTGCAGCAAATTCCATCAAACCCACGTTAACAGTAACAGAGTTTGAGCTTTTGTCACAGTTTAATATGTGATTTTATTTTTGAGTACACTGCGTGATGTTCACAGCTCATATTTGATCTTCATGGTTAGAGGTGTAATGTTTCCAAAATCATGTTTCCGTTTTGCCAGACTTGCATACTTTAACAACTCCACATGGGACTCATCGTGAGATGGGACATTTGTATCGCCATTTCTGTTGTCGTCTGAGAATTGTTACACCGTTAATCCTACTTCTCTGCACTATACAACCTTAACGCTCCGAGTTCAGTAATAAACACCTTTATCATCCTCCTGAGAGGCTGTGGAAAGTTAAGTTCACAGTCAGTGCCACAAGGGTCACCACTGCTGTCAGTAAACATTGTAACAGCTTCCAATAGGAGGAGCGTGTTATATATCCCACCTTTAAGGCACATTTTAAACACATTTTCTATTTTTTTGGTCCCTGTTTAAATGAAGATGACTAATAAAAGTTAGAAAAGAAAAATCCATGCCCACTTCACAGGAATGGTAGATTGAAAAGGAAAGCTTAAGGAATGCAGCTCAGTTACTTTCAGTTTGAGTGCCACAGTAGCAGCAGATGCTCTATTATATCAGCGTGTGTGTGTGTGTGTTAGACTGTGACGGTGAACTTGGCTCACAGCCTGTCTCCTATCTGTCCTCTCAGCTTTTGCCAGTCGTATAAAACAACTGCCAATACACTGGAAGATCCTCCAGACACGAACACACACACACACACACACACACACACACACACACACACACACACACACACACACACACACACACACAGTTACTTTTAAAGGTACCTTTTCACTTTACAGTGTTGTTACTATTGTGAAGTGATCTGTTACATTACAGGGCCATCTACTTAGAAAAGTAACTCATCAGCGTGCTTTGCTTTACCAAAACTGCACAGCCCTCATATGGTTACATTGTACAGAGGCTGTGTGATCTCATAGAGAGTTGACATTGATAGCACATCGTAACCAGTAACAAGCTCACTAGTTTCCCTTTTCAGCTGAGCTAACTTGTTAGCTGTTGTGTGTTTGGAGCTTTTCCTTTGACTAGTGTTACTGCTGCGAGGTCTGGCCTGTTGAAAAGGTGTGTCCAGCACAATTCAGCTAAACTCCCTGCACAGATCTCCAGTACTTCCTCAGTGACAGCTGGTTGTGTAAAAATTGCCTTAAGTAATTAACACATTTTTGACAGGACAGTGTGCAAAATGGAGTGATGTGTTTAGAGGCTGAGGCAGACTGACTCATCCTTGGGTCTGCATCGTTAAGTGTTGTTCGAGCACAGGCCAGTGTGGGAGTTTGGGACAGTCACTGACTGTGCCTAGTGCGAGTTCACCCTAAAGTGCAGGGTTCAGGAGGTCAGCAACAATGAGAAATACCAGAAACTGGTAACCACTATCCACCCACTCGTCCTTTTTTTTCTCCTTATCTGCATCATGGGAGCATTAATCTAAGCACAGCTATCAAAAACTAACAACCACCACTGCCTCCAGCTCTTCTGGAGAGTTGAAAACTAGGTGTTGCGTCGTGTCTGTGTAGGTTCTCAGTCGTACAGGTCATGATAGTCTAAGGCGCTGAAAAAGAAGCCGACTGGATGAAGTTTTTTTTTTTTTGTTTTGTTTTTAATCTTTCATCCTGTGAAACAATCAAGAAACCTCTTGGATTAGAGGTGAAACATCTTCAAAGAACTTAAAGAAGTCCAGTCACCTTCTTTTCAAGCTCTGTTTTGCATCCTGTGACTTCTCTGGAGACGTTGTCTTGTCAGATGTAGTTAAATGACCTCATCTTTGAGGCTTAAAGGAGCCTGAACCACGTTACATCAGTCATTCTGTGTGTAAGGCTGGACTGAGATTACACAATATTGTTGTTTGTTGTAATGGTTAATGTGTCAGGTTAGAAGATTATAGAGTTGGAGACATGATGAGCTGCTCGTTGCTCCCCTATTGGCTTTTAAAATTTAAGTGATATCATCAGGATGGAAATGCTGGCTAGGGATCTCCAGAAAAACCCCCACAGTGGTGACGTGTATGATCCTGGTGATCTTCTTATTCATTGATTTTCACATTTCCTCCATCAGCTCATATTAGTCAAGGTCACTGAAGTTGAGGAAAACTCTTTTTTTTCCCCCTTTAACCTTTGTGCAATTATCAACCTACAAGGCTTTTGTAGGTTTAAATTGGACTTTTTGGAGGTGAGGACATGTGTAATCTGTAACCACTACCACAGTTAGTCTTTTCTGTCTTTTTCACAAAGTTATTGAATAAATTTGTTTGGGTTTTTTTTGGTAAGGAATTTTATTGGTGGTTTTTCTCTGTGGACAGGCCAAAGCCTCTTTGGTTATCCCTGGACACTGATCGACGAGTAGAAGGATGAACTGTAGAACACATTGCACATTTGTTCCATGTTGCAATCAGCTGATATTGTGTAGTCTGAATCCAGACACCATTCGGTGGAAACAAAGTTTTACAGCCTGTATTTATGATCTTTTTCTTCTGGTACAACCCATAGCCACAGGCGATGGTTAGAGCATAGCCCTGCCAGTTAATTAAACCCTATGCTCACCAGAACTTAGCAGTACTGCAAATGCTGTAGAAGCCCACTTGTCGCTCTCCCACTTTCCATTGTTCCCCCACTTGTGAACATCATCCTAAGGTACTTGAGATGCTCCACTTGAGACAGTAGCGCTTCCTCAAAACAACCCATCTCTTACTGAATACCAGGGCCTCAGACTTGAGGGGCTAATTCATCTGCTAATGCATCTGCTCTCCACTGAGCTGCAAACTGAACCAGTACAAGCTGCAGGTCAGCACGCATTTTTAGACTGTGTGATGTGGAAAAACGGGATTAGTGGCTGACGTCTTTTCTTTATATTGTGTCTTGGAAAACTAGTTAATGGGGATTATGGACCATGTGGACATGGGAAAACAACCAATTTCTAAACTGCAACATCTGGAGATGTTATAACATGTTGTTTAATTAGTCTAATAATAAGCACAGCTGCATGAAATGTGAATAAACTATGAATTTATTTGGTGTTCGTCTCCTTTTATTTGCAGCAAGATGATAAGTCGGGCAAGGAGGTGATTCTGGACGATAATGAGTGTCCACTGCAGATCTTCAGGGACTGGCCTGCTGATAGAGGTAAAAGACACACTCAGGCACTTGTCCCCTGCTTCTTGGTCACTATCGCCCCCTGCTGCTGGTTTACTGAAATTACATTAAATGTTATTTTTAAATGTAATTTTTCTTTGACCATTGATCTTCTTACTGTATATTAACCTGTGGAATCTCTACTGAGAGTACAGGTAGTAAAATTTAGTCTTCCTCATTTTCAGGGGCATTAGTGTTCCAGTTGAAGAAGAGACCCCCGGACTACCAGGGGAGGAAGGGAAGGAAAGTGGATGACAAGGGCCTCAGAGGGAAGGACAGCTCGCTGCCTCCTGAGAAACTGCCTTATCTAGTGGAGTTGAGCCCAGGTAGGACCACAACACTATCATATGTGACCCTTCATCTTTGCTGTCAGTGTTGGTATGCATTACAAGTGACAGCACCAGCGGAAGCAGCTTTTTTTTTTTTTTTTGGATTTGTTGTTGTAATGGCAAACAGTGACCAACAGGTTGCAGTGTAGCTGCATTAAAAAACACTCAGGTTTGGTCAAAGGTGAGTCTGTCTTCGTGTTCCCTGCCGAGGTGAATGAAGCACATTATAATGCGGCTACATTATTGCTCCCACATCTTCTCACCACTTTCAGCTGTGTTGTGGTTTCTTTTCCTGCCACTGCAGCATTTTGTCAGTGTGTAAAAACCACTGCGGGCGGTTAACGATCACTGAAAGCTGCAGACAGCTCTTAAAAATAGCTGGAGATGTTGGCGCGTGCTACAGCTGCCTGACTTTGTTTTATCCCCCCATCAGAAAGAGCTGTAGCTTTTAATATGAATTAAAGTTTCCAAAACACATGAGTGCACTGTGAGAAGTCACAGAATAAAAAAGACTTGGACATTAGATCTTCTCCTTTATGCTTGTTGCACTGAGGTTATACCTGCCTGAAGGGTTTCTAACATAAGATAATTCTTTATTGGGGGATTATAGGGGAAATATCTGGCAGTTCTTGAGGTTAAAGTGTAAATTTATCAGGCAGAGATTGGTAAGAGTTATATGTAGGTGTTGTTAGAACAAAAATGTGTCTGTCCTCAGTCACAGCAGCTGAGATCACTCTTTTAGACCACTCATGTATAATGAATCTCTTCATCATCATCATCATATTATTATTATTATTCAAAGGGGGAAAACCTGTCCTAATCTTAACAGCCACATCAAAGTCTTTATCATATTTTTTTATGATGAAGATGATTTAAAGAGCAAAAAAGTTAAACTTACTATGAAAAAGCTTCATTTGGTGAATTATAGGAAGTTGCTTACTGATGTAAGAGTATACGGGATAGGGACCACTCCTACTGTAAGAGGTAAGTTACAGTGGTGTAATAACAGCTGGAATGCAGTACATAAAACCCCAGATTATTTGTTGTGAGAGCCTTTCGAAGGGCATTTTGGAGAAACATACCCACGTCTTGTTAAATATGACACAACCCTAACAGCTTGTTTCTTGCTACTGATCCCTCTCTTTCTTTATTGGCCTTTTTGTCATTCTTCCTATCATGCCATTAACCTATCAGACCCGTTGGTGAACCCAATTCTTATTGGCACTTGAACTGGTTTGAACTGTGGTGCTGGAATGATATCGGCTCACCAGTGGGGCCTATCCAGGAATGTACTAACACGTCTACTTCATCTACTGTAAGGTTGACGGGTCACTGACTGTGGAAGACTGCCAGGATGGGAAATTGATTTGGTGGCTCGTCTAAATAACAGCTGCTTGGCAAAGTGTGTGTGTGTCTGTGTGAGGAGAGAGAGAGAGTGTGTGTGTGTGTGTTAATTAACTGGACTTTAATCCACTTCTATTAAAGAAAACACTGAGGTTACCCTGTAGAAGGCTTAAGATAAAAATAAATTTGTTGTAATTTTTACTTTTGAATGACTTTCCAGTATTTAAGTGATGTCCGAGCTACTGAGGGAAGTCCTGTAACCACAAGCATACCTCTCAGTGTGTTTTCTTCATAGATTGTATTTAAAAGATGGGCATAAGGGATGTCTCAGCCTCAAGCTGAGAATTGTGTCTCCATCTAAGCTTTATGAAGCCAGATATGACGAGCAGAGGGCAAAGCTGACTGTGGGGCGAAGGCGAGCCCCTATAATGCATCACAATAGACGACTGTTTGGGTGCTCTCCCCATTTTACAGCCTTTACGGCACCACCTGATTGAATGAACACCACTCTGTCTGCTCTTGGATTTTAAAATAAAACCAAAATTTTACACTTTAAAAAAGCAGACCATTAACCTCAAGCTTGATTCTAAAAACACGTGAGGTGAGAAATAAACCACAAAGTTACCAAATATAACACGTTTAAACAGATAAAGATGCTTTAACCTCAAAGTCAGGGCAGGCAACGTAATGCCACCAAAATGCATACTTGTTTGGATCAGTGGTTAAACTGTTGGGAAGATCTTTTTTGTTATGACCTGCTTTAAGATACATACTCTGTAAACTAGAATTTACAATTTACTTGCAGTGTGCATTGTCATTTACAGGACTGCTTTGTTTAATTCATTTAAAATTTGGACACTAGGACAAATGTAGACAGTGAGAGCCCTTTTAAAATACCGTGTGTGTGTGTTTGCCTGCTTTCCATGCAATTAACGGGTTAACAAGGTATTTTTTTCCCTTCCTTGCTGCATTTTCACCCTCTGCTATTTGTCTGTTTTCTTTCCCACCTTCTTTATGGCATGGTGCGTATGGGCGCGTGTGTGTGTGTGTGCGCGTGTGGGGCCTGTGCATGTCTCCTACCTCCGTGCCTGCCTGCCTGCCTAGGGCGAGGGAATCACTATGCCTACTACGCCTATCGGCACCACGAAGGTAAAAATCTACCGCACCTCCCTGTGTGTCTGTTGGTGGGGTCAACTCATTTGGCCAATAGTGGTCAAACAGCCCTGATACATGTTTTAGATGTGATTTAGGCACTAGTACTGAACAGAGAGGTTAGGAAAAAGTGATTTAAACAATTTATTTACATTTTACATGAGAGTTATTTAATACTTTCTGTATCGGCATTAAAACAGTCAATAACAGCTTAAATACATTTTAGGATACTAAGTTTTAATAAGAAGTAGGATTTAACATTATATCCAGCCAATCACAGGGAAAACAGACCTTTTTGGAAGCATTTTTGCAGATTGACATTCATTTTATTTGAAGGGTACACGAAACTACTAAATCAATTTATTTCACCAGTTGCTAGAAGCTCACAAATGAACTGATAATAATCGAAGTGACGTTTGTAGTGAGTTACCTCATAACTGACTGAAAGACTGAAGAACTCAAAACATGGGAATTATTCTTCTGTGTTAAATCTACCTGTAAAATAGTCGTAACTGCAAATCTTTCTGAAATCCTGTACCATAATCTTCGATGTTACCTGAAGTCCACCTGCATGGAAATGTAACCACATGTCACTGTCAGTGCAGCCTGCACAGGTAAAACAGAATGCTAGAAGCTGCAACCATCACTGGCATCTATATTTCACAGCAGAAGTCTAAATCGAGCATAATGCCACACTGTGAAAAATGGTGTCTGTAGACTGCAGTTGCAACCGTGTGACCTCATGATCTCGCAGCACTCAAAGATGACCATCAGCTGTGTCTTCAAAGTAGCTTTGATAAAATGGCAATAAGATGGAGTCGGTCTGCTGTCACTGTTACTGCAAATTCAATGGTCATTAGGCAGTTATATACTGTTACTTTCAACCAAAACCTCATAGATGTGAAACATGAATTTAGGAATTTATCACAAATAGTGACATAGTTGCAGCAGGATGTTGAATTTCACTGTTAAAGGATGGAGGAACCTTGATATTATGTAGGATTATAATATTGGGTCGATGTTAAAGAGCCATGATGCAGAGACGTTGTGTTCATTGTTGTGGACGAACTCTGATTGATTGCAACATGTTGGCAGTCTCTGTGTTAATAAATTAGATGCAAACCTGCTAATAATCAGGTTGCCTTTGCAAGGGGATCTGTGCGGCCGCAATCAGGCATCTGGTTTCTGCAGCGCGTTCATTAAGCTGCCAAAAGGGAAGGAAATTAAATGTGTTTATCAGCCACCGTGTTTTTGTTTGGTTTATCATCCTTTTAGTTGCAGACAGTTAGCTGTTATATATCTACTCGTGTCACTGAGCCATTAGAATGCCAAATAAATTAGATCCAAATATTCTAAAAAAAAAAACAAAACAACTAATATGCAAGGGTGGCTCCTATTCAACTTAATTCAACAATCACTTAGATGAAAAAAATTTGTTAGCATCTAATCTCTAATTAATTTATAGTATTCAAATTCAAAATAATGATGATAATAGCATCAGTCACAAAACAATGAAAAACTGTTGCAATATGAAAAGTTATAAATGAATAAAATAGAGAGAGAAAGTGGAAAAAATGACTGAGTGTCTAAAGAAAGTGAAAGTCCTTAAACCTTTAACTGGCACAGAATTGATGGTAAAAACAAAAACTGAGAGTCGGTATAGCAGACAGTATTATTTTTTTATAAGATGGTCATATGTAGGTTTTTTTCTGATACCCTTTCACCCCCCCCCACCCCCACAGCAGCCAACATTTTATCCCTTTCCCTTCACTGAACTAATGCCCTGCTTTGCTTTTACTAAACCCCTACTTACTAATATCAATAACTGCACTGCAGCCCCACCAAAAACCCCACACTCTGTGCCACATTAGCAGTGCATAATGCACAGCTTTCCATATGTCACTATGTATTGACTCTGTACTGTATTAATGTTGAATTGATTGACTGGGATTTCAGTCAATCAGTGTATGTGTGAGTTTGTGTAGTGAACCTGTATGCCGTTTCTTTAAAATGTGATGTGTGTGCAGCCTTACCTGGTTTCTAAATCTGAACGTGTGTCTGTGTGTGTTCAGACGGCTCAGACTCTCGGGACAAACCCAAGCTGTATCGGCTTCAGCACAGCATCACTGAGGTCGGCTCAGACTGCACAGACGACGGAGCCATCCAGGTAAACACCCCATTAAAATACAAAAAATTCTAATACAGACTGTAGAATACTGCACTATATAAACTGTACATATTAATGCTAGAATTTCTCTCTTTTTAAAAAAAATAGTACATTGCAATTTTAAATTAAGATTTCTGTCTTTCTAAAGCTTTCAGTATTTGGGAAGAGCTCACATGCTGCCAAGTTTTGATGCCAGTGCATCCGAGCACTGATGCAAGTGGAGTTCCCTCACACTCAGTGTTCCCTTACACACACACACACACGCGCGGTGTAGAATTAACTGTGCAAACATCATGACGTTACTGCAGTTTAAAAAGCTGTCTTTAAATATGATTCAAATGAAAAGCAAAGAGGTGTAGCTGGGGGAGTGAGATGCTGACCAGTGGGGGGTTTTGACCATAAGGGCCATTACACTTGAGCAGCTGCAGCTAACTGTTGTTTGAAAGTCGATCAGGTGAAAATCCAGAGACAAGATCAGCATCAGGCGGCTGATGATCATTCCAAGGTTAGTTTATGATACTTTTACTTGGCCGTCCTGGCTCGAGTTAAACTAAAAAGCAACGGTGTTTAAGCTTATAGAGAGGGGAAACGGTGCACAGCTCTAATGGGAGCTTGAAGTCAAGTGAAACTGACTGCAGAAGAATATTTATTTATTTTGCCAGAAGCCAGCCCGACAGGTTACAGGTTAAAAGTGGAGTTTTAGCCTGATGCTGCTTATGTAGCTGATATACTTGCTGTGTTTGTCTTCAGCTGCTTGGTCCGGGGATTCTGCCCCACCACTGCAACCTCATGCACAGCGAAGGCATGGTGACGGTGACGCCGCACGGCCCTGACGCAGACACGTTTGTAGACGGGCAGCGCATTATCGAGACGACGGTGTTGCGTTCTGGCTCTACCATCCAGTTCGGTTCTGCTCACGTCTTCAAATTCGTGGACCCGATGTTCGACCAGGGAGGGAAGAGAGAACCGGCCATGCCGAGAGGCAGACACAAGTCTGGGTGAGGAATGGGAAAAGGGTTTGTGGGTGTCTGAATGCAAAGTTTTCACCTCAAACTTATGGACATCCATTCTTCTTACTATCCCTCCTTCTTCAACCTCTGTACACACAATTTCCCGAAGCCTACCAACAGTAAAGAAAGAATAGGGCGTTATTGTAAATGAAGGGAGGGTGAGGTTTGGAGTTGGCAGGCGGAAGCAGAGATGAAGGGAAGGAAAAGTGGGAGGAGGGAGTCTGGGATGGGGAGAGCAGAGAAATGAGAGGAAGAGCGGAGGTCTGGGGTTACGGCAGGCAGGCTGCCCTCTAATCTGATCAACATGATGTTGGGTGTGGCCTCCTCCTCGCTGGAGTTTCACACACTAACGGGAGAAAGACGGAGGGCATACAAGATAAGAAGAGAAAGGAGAGTGTGAGAAAGTTAGGGATCAGTGAAGGAAAGGAGAAACAACTTAAAAGTCTTTAATGGATGACTAACACTGCAAGGAAGGGAGAAAGAAGGAAGTCTGTAAGTACCCAAAACACTAACTCAAAACTGTGGGTGTATTTCTGCATGAATTAGTTTCTACAAATGATTTAAGAAATTGTCCTTTATCTTTTGTAGCACTCTTTCATAAGCATGTGCTCAGTATTTTCTAAAGCTCACAAGGTCATGAACACATTTAAATTTGTTTTTTTAACAATCTAGAGTGTAAAGTTTGCCTCTGTAAACTTTGCCTTCAGACGAAATAAACCTTAAAATTATTTTGGAGTAAAATGAGCATAACATTTTTGCTTGGCTGAATTTAATCCACCAGCCTGGGAGTGTTTTTTTTTTTTTTGTGTTTAAGAGCTGGTTTGTTAGGTTTGAGCGCTTGCTGAGCAAACACAAAATTATACATCAGTGCAGCGTTTTAAAAGAGAGCTAATCCTGTATTTAGCTGTGGGCTGTGACTGCTTTCACAACATGTTCCTCAGAGGCTTTGACACAGGTTTGCATTCCAGTTAGAAACTCCCATCAGGTGATTTTGATTAGTAACCTCAGCTATAGAGGAAGACCTCAAAATTCATGTTTAATACGAAAATACAGCTCACAGTGCTCCACATGTCGGCAGCAAAATGTGACAATAAAATAATTCAGCTTAAAAAAAAGAAGACTCGGGATGAATGAAGTCCACAGACTGTATATATATAAGATCAAAGTAGCCACTTGGTCTTTTATATACAGTCTTAATGTTGGTACTTTTGCTGCTCAAGAGTCATAAATCTCTTGCTCAGCCTGTCCCAAACAGCAACACATTATATTTGTCAGACATTTCCATTAAAAATGCTCTAAAGGGCTCCAGGAGCACAGGCATGGTTCAGATCAGTGCAGGTCAACTACAGCTGTCTATGTCTGCCGATTCAAATTCTGCCCTTAAGTTTAAGACTTGGCAGAGTCCCATTGGATGAGTTTTACCCAGTGTAGAGGTGTTATAAAGGGAGAATTTATCAATAGAAGCCAAAAAAGTTTTTTTACAGGCTTTAAATACATTTTTAATGTCTGTTTTTTATTTATTTATTTATTTATTTTTTTTTTAAAGAGTTAAACATCGTGCATTAACATTTGTAATTTCTAGCTATAGGATATATGAATGTGAAATATGCCACTAACCTTTGGTCTCATAAAGGGCATTTTAATGTTTTTGGGTTTTGGTTTTATGGCTCGTAGCATAAATCGCATAGTTCATTCTTATTATTGATGGTTTTAACGATAGGCAGCTGCATTTAGCCGGTTCTGCCTGTCCAGATACAAACATGAGGAAGATGAAGTTAGCTTCCGGGTCATGGATATGGTGGATTTTTTGTAAGTTAAAGAGGTCCATATTTCCCCCAGGAGTTACAGAAAATGTGTGAATATCGACCTTAAATTGAGATAAAGCTTTTTTGGTATCACGAATGGCGAAAGGGAAAATTTTCCTCATTGCCCCAAAATGGCAGAAAACCCATTTTTATTTTTCTATATAAGCAAGAAGTGCACCTGTATAATCCAATTTCTCAGTGGTTCAAATAATACTTTGGTCATTTTATTAGATTTTTTGTTATTGATCAGCTCCTTTGGGAACTTTTTCAGTTGTCAGCTCAGTTGGAGGCATTGTAAAATGATGTTACCAGAAATGAGAACACTGAGGAGTTATATTAAGACCAGGGATCATTTTGTGCAGCTCAGAAAAGGAGAAGTTGTGGATGTGGATCTCTGTGGTTTTCTGGGCTGCTTTCCAGTGTCCTGCTGCACAAACATACCAGGATACCTACCCACAGTCAAGCTGAGGACTCATCATAATGTTTAGGCCGATTACTGCAGTAGTTTGGCGAGGATTTTTTTTTTTTTTTTTTGGCGTGGTTCAGATGATCTTGTAAGGGAATGAGTGTTTGATCCTTTGATAATCTGCTCCCTCTTAACTTCATCTGTATTCACTGTCAGTGAGTGAGAGAAAAACATGAATGAAACCAGCCGGAAGCCTTAAAAGGAACTTTAATCTGTATCATGTTTAATTTGAGATCATTTTAAATAAATCGTTATCAGATCCTTGTGAAGTAATCTCAGTACGCATGACACAGCAGATTCACATTTTAAACACTGTTTTTCATGTTTTATATCATGATAACAGCCTTTTGTGTTCTGCATGTTTGACTTGTTAGCAGCTGACAGAAGTGTGGCACAGATGCAGGATTACAATAGTGCGCTTTCTAAACAGAAATGAGGCGAGTTGCAAGAAGACTGTTAGTGAGCGGGCGAAGGTTAAGCAGCACTGTGGTGTGTTTGTTTTGAATTTTCTGTCAGAGTAGAGACTGCCAGAAAAGGCAGATGGTATTGCTGTGTGCTCATACTGCTATGACGCAGTCTTGGTTCTCTTGACGCTTTCTTCCTCTTAAAAGAGCGTTTTGTTTTTTTTCTTCCCACTGTCACCAACTGCTTGTTTAAAAGGGATCATTTGATTGTTGGGGTTTTTCTGTACTATTGTAGGGTCTTTACCTTGCAACATAAAGTGCCTTGAGGCGACTATATAAATAAAATTGAATTGAAAGTGACCATTTAAAATGATGGCGTCTTGGAAGACATGCAAGGATGGCAGGGTGAGATGGTGGGCCCCTAAAGGGACCAGCTGAGTTATCAAATAATAGCAGCCTTATTGGTTAGAAAGCTGCATCCACAGATGGTATAAAGATGGACAAAGATTGAAAAATTACGCCTTCATTCTTTTTAATGGCCAATGATTGCAGAGGGTTTCTGGTGGTATAGTCTAAGTTGACTCTCACCTTCCTATCTCCAAGAACTCTGTAAACATTTTTTCATTACTTTAATGCATGAGTCACTGATTTCAGGCCTTATTTTTGTCAAACACTGAGTGCATTTTGTAAGTTATAGTCATCCTGAGGCTTTTCCAGGGTTATCCAGGATATGTGTGTGGTTTCACAGTCAGATCCACATCTCGTTCACCGCATCTGGTTTCAAAAAACTGCGATAGTGAAAACACTCATTTTGAGGCTTCATAAAACTAACAAACAGGTGACATCACAGTGGCTCTCTCCCACTATTGTACAGTACAGCTAAAACACACAGAAAGCCATCCTTGGTGCTAATTAACAGACCAGAACTGAAGCACAACCTTATTAAATGGTCTGCACTTTAAAACAGAGTTTGTGAAAGGGAAAGCTATCTGTGGAGGCTAAAACATGCTTTTTAATGCAGTGACGTGGGAGCCTGTGGGGTTCGACTCACATTTGAAGCCAGTCCCAGGTGGCTGTTAGAGGAATTGCGTGTCTGGTTTCTGAGATCACATGACACCTGTCATTGATTCCCACGCTGGGATTTGGGACCATCTTTTTAAAGATGTTAGAATCTGTTTTCAAAAGCTGAAAATGGCAGCATCAGAAAGATTTTAATATTTTATCTGTTTTTACTGGAGTTATGAGTTTGTTTGTAATGTAATGTACTTAATTTGACTAGAAATTTAGTTTAAGAAAGATAAAAACAATCAGTCTACTTTCTCTGTCTATGTTGATGCTGGTAATGGTTGTTTGGCTGCTTTTGTTTATTGTGTGCGTGATGGAGATCTCCGTGTCAATGACATGAAGCACTAATGCTTTGTGTTTGTGCTGTGCTCTTTATTCGACATTGATGCCATGCTGTCACGCTGGCTGCGAAAGCAGAAGCCTGTCTTTTTAAACCCGACTGCTGTCACACTCCGTGTCTCTCTCTCTCTCTCTCTCTCTCACTCACACACACACACACACACACACACACACACACACACACACACACACACACACACACACGAGACATCCTGGCGTTGCTGTGAGTTAGGACTCGTGGCTTCTCTATAACTAATTAGACTGTTATGTAAGAGTGTGCATGCATAAAGCGAGCTATCTGTGTGCAAATATCAGTGAGTCTATTTTACTGCCTCTCACGCCCATCGCTCTCCTCGGTGACGGTGAGTTAAATAAGTGAGCGTGTGTGTGTCTGGGTTTAAGTCTGCGCTCTTGTTGACGTCAGTAATGAAAAGTCAGCTGTGGAGAGCGCAGTTCCTCATCTGAACCTCTAAATGTCTGTGTCTCCCCGCTGAAGCAGCGTACCAGAAACCACCTTCGACCTTCACGGAGACATCCACAGTGGAGGAGCCCTGCCTACCAGCAAGGTAACACACATGAACACAGACAGAAAAAGATACACACTCATTTTCGTGTATATACTTTATTCCATTCAAAGTTCTCTCTGCTCTGCTTTCTGCTCTTAAACACTTAAACACTATGCTGTTAATATTTTTATGTTTTATCTGTCTGAACTTTTATTAAGCAGACTGGCTGAAAGTCAGGCATCATCATATTTTTGTTTACTGCACTGCTTCTGTGGTGGATTCTCCTTTTAAAGTTAGTTTCAAATAATGACGTTAGTTTATGTTCAAGTCATCGCTGTTCAGGCTGCTCTAAACATGCCAATTTTGACAGTTTCTTTCCCCCTGCTCTGTATGATGCCTTATCTCAACTATTGTCAACACAGGTGCACAGCTGTCACAGCGAGCACAGAAGCTCCACCCACCTACTATTTAAGCCTTATTTTTGCAAGGGGGAACAAAACTACTATAGTAACTAGTAGCGGTAGAAGAATTCACAGATTTAAAAATATGGAGCCAATCTTATTATGATAATTATGCACACCGGTGGTATTTATCAGTATCTTTCAAATTTCTTTGCAGTTAAATGTCATTTATAGAGTGACAAATCATGACACATCTTAAGGTGTTTTATTTTCAAAGGTAAAGACTATGCACATATTATAAATATTATAAAAACACAATGATTCCACAATCGTCCGTGAGAGAGCAGCTGATGACAAAAAGGAGAAAAATGACTCTCGTGGGTTTTCCAAAAATAATTAGGTCTTTTGTTGATTATCGGTGTTGATTTGCAGATCTTCTTGAGTGCATTTCATCCAACATTTAACTCCAAAGAAGTTTAATTCAGATTATTTAAAAATCTGATTAAAGCCACAGATTAATTTTGTCATTTGATTATTGCTTTGACTAACTGCAAAAACTCTAGCGAAGCAGTAAAACGTTTTTTTAAATGTTTGAAACTTAATACAGAGAAACAAGTGGAAAAAGGGTTGTCATGTTGCTTTTGCTGCTTGTTAGTAGTTCTGCCAATAAATCCAACCCAAGTCACCATTGTCGGCGTTCCCAGACAAAACTCCATGTCACCATAACTTTGATTTGTTTCCCCACGCTGCATTTAAGCCTCGTAGGACTGTAGCCAGTATCTTTAAAATATAATAAGGGACTAATTTCCGTATATTAAGTTTAATTGAAGCTTCTTTTTTTCTCTGTGTGTTTTCAGAGCTCAGGAAAGCTGGACATGGAGAGAGGAATGGTCAAACCCATGATCAGAGGAGAGCAGCAGGACAGCAGGTCAGACATGGTTTCCTCCAATACCCTGGATTCTCTTGATCCTCATGCTTATCCTTTTTCTCCCCTCTGTATGCGCCTCCTCTCCTCATGGTTTGAATCTGTCTCATCAGGTCTCAGGATATTTCAGCAGACAGAACAGAGCTGACTCTTCCAGCCAGCATCGAGTTCAGAGACAACTGTGAGTGTTCACACATCACTTTCTGCCTCTTCATTCATCTCACTGTGTCAGTGACACAGTCAATAGCTGGAAACTATTGAACCCTTTCAGTTCCTGTCGTAACGTCCTGGCCCGACAAACCTGACCTGATTGTGCTGGAAGTAGTGCTGCTCAATAACGGTGTCATGGTTAATGCAGGCAGTTCAGAGGCTTTTCACGTTTTCTCTCACCTCGCCGACCTGCAGGGATGAAAGGCTGAAAGCCATTATAATCATTAAAATCCTATTTGACGTTGTGGCACAAAGTCAAGCACGTTCACAGTGGTTTTTGCTCCTCGTTTCTGAGCCTGCTTGTGATATTCTTGAACAAGATCTGCGGGTGCAGCCGGGGTTAAGGGGACCCTCCATCGCTGCTTTTTGAAGCCAATGTGGTTTTATTTGATTTATCAGAGTGTGACCTTCAGCATTGGAGGTCAACACCTCCAAATGTGAGACTGTGAAGTGCCCTCTCTGGGTTGAAAGGCAGTTATGTCAGGATGTTTTTCTCGAGACATAGCGCGGAAAGGTGGATTTATGGGTCCATCGACCTCAGCCTTCACCTTCACTTATCAGCAGTAATACGGGCAGTGTATCAGACTGCTGTAAAAGAGACGTCCACATATGTTCTACCTATCATATTTGGTCATGAGAGCAAGTTAATGAACAATAGTGCAAAGTCAAAAATACAAGCAGTCACAATGAGTTCCCTCTGCAGGGTGACTGAGCTCAGCCTTAGAGCAAGGTTGCAGAGCTTGTACATTTGGAAGGATATTAGAGTGGAGCTTCTGCTCAATCGTGTTGAAAGCAGCCAGCTGAGGCTGTTCCATCGTCTTGTAACAATGCCGCTGGAGGTTTCGAGGACATGTTTATCTGGGAGGAGACCCTTGGGAACTACAATCAATTTATAATCACCACTTAACCCTTACCCCATGCATGTTTTTGAACTGTTAGTGGAAGCTGGAGTTCCCAGAGAGAACCCATGCAGACACAGGGAGAACATGCAGGCTCCATACAGAACGGAAAAGACTGGATTAAAACCCAGGAACTTATTCCCGTGGAACTTTTTCTGTGAAGCTGGCAGGTTGAAGACCATTTCATGACTGGCCTCAAAGGTTTGTTATTGTTCTCTCGTGCACCTTGAACGGTGGAGAAGTTTGGGGCTGTGGTGCATGTATGAAAACTGCTACATCAGGGTGTTTCTGCCTTTACATGTCAGAGTACATCACAGAGATTAATATTGAGCTTCATGATTTCCATCTCTGCGTTTTTCTGAGCCGTGTTCGAACTGTGCATTCCTGTTTTAATAAAGTAATAAAATGAAAGTTCTCCTTTTGTCTGCCAGTGTGGAGGGAACCTCAGAGCTGAACTGAGTTCTCCTAATCCCCGGCATTTAATTTTCTAATGTCTCTAGTGAATCCTTTATTAGATGATTTCAGAACTCTTTGTTGCTGTTGGATGTTAAATTCATGATAATTGAGTTCCAGACGGCAGTGCAACGTTTCGTTTCCCACGCTTTTTGTAGCCACGAACGCTTCGAGCCGTTTGCTTTGTCTTCTGTTTATTGACTCTTCTTCTGCTCCGGGCCCGAGTCTATCGAGACAGTGCTACAATATATTTGGCACCGTGTGTGTGAGAGATCATCTGTTTTCCAGGCAAAAGATGGTTTTTGGTCATAAAGTGGTGGAGACTCTCATACCCACAGTCCTCAGGGAGCCTAACCATGTGCTGTAAGAGGCAGAAAAGGTGCAGTAGTCTCATCTTCAGGTTTTCATATGGAGTGTTGTAGCTGCTAAAGTGCAGCTGCCACCAGTTTGGCATAGAGTTAAAACCGAATGACTCTAAAGTGAGGCAGCTGGTTTTATTGGTGTTTTCAACATGACACCCATGTGCAGCCAATATCTGCACCGCCAAAGCGACTGATACAAACTGCCTCCCACAGCTCAGAGGCGGTGTGGGCCGACACTTCGAACATGCAGTTTGATTTATTGTGTGCAGTCATTTGTGCCTTTACATACAGTTTTTAATGAGAGATAATATATAAAACCTTTGCATTCATTAATTACTATTATCAGCTATAATGATGAGCTGTTATTCCATGAAATAATAATTAAAAAAAATCAGCTATAGTGGAAGAGTTAAACAGGTGGAGATTGTAGTCAGAAGGGGCAGGAATGAATGAATGAAAGCCAAAATAAATGAATAGATGAATAAAAACATGAATGAATTAAATAGTAAACTAGAAGTCTAATAAACAAATGAATATTATTATTATTATTATTGTTGTTGTTGTTGTTATATTAAAAAACAGACTATTAAGAAAAGTTAAGTTTTATTTATCAGTCAACACAGTGGGGAAAAGAAAAATGACTTATTAAAGCAAAAAGAAACAAGATAAAATAATAAAATGAGAATCCATGAATGAATTCATCAATGAATGGCTGAGTGGGTTAAAACAAACAAACAAACAAACAAACAAACAAACAAAAAAACAACTGGATGGATGGAAACAGAATAAATAACAGATGAATGAATAAAGCCAGGAACCAGTTGCTGAATTAACTGACAACACAAGGAGTATCTGAATGAAATGATGAATGAAAACACAGGAAATAAATAAAACTCCTACTTGCCTCTTTAACACATTTCCGGTGTTTTCTACTGTAGGACTACGATAAAGTGGCTGGAAGTAAAAATGCTCTGTAGTCATCAGTTCAGTTCTCCATTGTTTTGGTGTCTAAGAAGCCTTTAATTCATGTTTTCATAACCCAACTCACCCTTTCTGCGTCAGACTTCGTTGTCTCACCCATACACGCGACCATGACCATGAGTTTAGTTTGTGGGGAATTACTTAAACTGCAGGTTTATTAATTAATTAATTATTAATTAATCATGTGAAATCTGTTACGTCCTCTGACAAACAGCGGCTGCCACAAAGATTATATCGAATGTATTCTCTCTGTGTCCATCCAGCTGAAGACACCTTCCTCTCTGCCATCATCAACTACACCAACAGCTCCACGGTTCACTTCAAACTCTCGCCCACGTACGTCCTGTACATGGCCTGCCGCTACGTCTTGTCGCCCACGTACCGGCCCGACATGTCGCCGTCAGAGAGGACGCACAAGGTCATCGCCATCGTCAACAAGATGGTGAGCATGATGGAAGGAGTCATCCAGGTCAGTAATGTGTCTTTTAAACGTCTTTTCACTGTAATTTTTAAAAGCAGTCGAATCAAATCATCGATTAATTTGCACGTTATCTCGTTCTCATGCTCCTCCTGCTTTTGTCGAATATTAGGTGACGCTCAGCGGTGTTCTTACAAAACTACATTTGTAGTAGTTGTAAGCTGTGTGTGTGTGTTTGTGTCTAGCAGCTTTTCTCCACAGTTGTGCTTTTGATTCTGTTTGTCCATCACTCAGTGTTACATGCTTGAGATGTGAAGCCTGTTATGACTCAACATGGAGCTACTGTTACTTAAAATGTCAAGTTTGATGCCGGTCTTATAGTCGTTTTTTGTAGGGGAGGGAGGCGGTGTCAAAACAGTAATTTTTAAAGACTTTTTCGAGATCTCCTCCTCTAAATAAAACTGCATAGAGGTATCTGTGTTCAATATTGCGTTAAGACAAACATCTGCAAGAAGTTTCTAATAAACATGCTAAAAATGCCTGGTTTTAATTGAAACAGTCTGTATGGAAATATGAAAAAGGATTAAGACTTTCACCATCTGTTAAAACTTTTTGTTAACTCCGGGCCATGCCACGTTAAAAACAGTCAGAAATGGTGGAAATTCTTCCTCGTTTTCCCAGCAACTTCAGTACCTCAATTTTTTCTGTACAAGAGTTTGACACATTAGATTTTCATATTTAAGTGGTTTTTAAACCAATTTTGATACTCACTCCAAGTTTCACAAGCGTCATGTCGCAATGTGGGATAGATAGCTGGGCACAACAAGTTATAGATTATGAAATCTTTTTACCTATAGTTTGATGGCAAGCTCATCTTCTAGTTGCGATCCCTTCACAGAAAAGAAATCCGTGTTCAAATGTTCTGTAAATTGATTTAGACACATCGATCAGTTTCATGTCCTAAACAGGTTTGGGGAACTTCAGGCCTCAAGGGCCGGTGTCCTGCAGGTTTTAGATGTGTCCTTGATCCAACACAGCTGATCTAAATGGCTAAATTACCTCCTCAACATGTCTTGAAGTTCTCCAGAGGCCTGGTAATGTTTGATTCAGGTGTGCTGACCCAGGGTGAGATCTAAATCCTGCAGGACACCGGCCCTCGAGGCCTGGAGTTCCCCACCCCTTGTCCTAAAAGGAAGAATAAGAGTGAAAAAACTTTTTCGATCCAGCTCTGTATACTCTATAAAATATTTATAGCATGAAGTTAGGATTTTGCATTGCTTAACTAAAGTTACTGTACAAAATAAAAGATAAAAGTGATCCTTGCTGGGTTAGGTGGGAGCACAATGCCACATATGGAGCAGAGGATCTTAGGAGGGGAGAAGTAAACACATAAACACCTACATGTTTCTTTTAAAGTCTCCAGCATCCAGTAAAGCCATTACTGCTTTTATTTGTTTAGCCTGCAGCAAGCTATTCATTGTCTTTGGCATGCAGAAAAGTTTGAAAACACAAGCACAGACTCACAAACGCACACACAAGACTGTAACACTATTTCAGTCTGTGTAGTAGGAGTTTAGCTTTATAGAGTTTCAGGAAAACTATCTTTAGCTACAGACTGAGAGATGTGGGAAGCTTGCTTATAAACTGCGTGTGTGTGTGCGTGTGCACGCGCGTGTTTTCAGTTATCATCTGGACATTAATCACTGCATACGAGACACTAATCCAGCAGATCAGGATATTTTTGGAGCATCTTTGGGATGTTTCTCGCCAATAACAGTGCTCGCACTCTCTAATATTTAATCCTTGTTAGTGTGCGGTTACAGTAGTGCGCTTCAAACATTTTTATGCAGCTTTTAGTTGTAAAATATAAAACATTGTATACCTCGTTCACTTTTGCAGTGTTTTCTTTAACATTTTTTTTTCCAGCTGACCTCCATCACTTCACTTTTTTGAGGATGGCTTTACATTGTAAACCATAATCATCGTGTGTGTCAAAGTGTATCTGTGTGTCACATAGCTGTCCATACTGTAGCCGTTGACGTGTTTTCTCTCTGTCCTGTGAACGTGTCCTCTTCCTCCTCCTCCTCTTCCTCTTCCTTCCATCCAGGAGATTGCTGAAGGGGATCAGGTAGGATAGCACATCATGATACGGCTGCTAAAGACTCGTCTACCTCTCTCTCCCTGGCTCTGACACTCTCTCTTTGTCTCATTTTCTTGGGGTGGGTGATGTGGGTAAAATAAATTGCACGGTGTACCTTATATTCTGTACTCGCTACTGTTCATGTGAGCTGCACAGGTTAGCAATGCCAAGAGCTTTGCAACTAAATACTTTTACTGTATTATCCACACTTTTCAGAGCTGTTTTTAAGGAACATATTGCAGAGGAAATAAAACAGTCGATCACGTTTGCCATGGTGACAAAATACTACTGGATTATAGTATTGTTCTTAGTGTAGGTTGATTTATTACTCCCAATAGCAACAGAACAAATGGTTGTTGTTGTTGTTGTTATTATTGCTATTGTTATTATTATTATTATTATTATTATTATTATTAATAATAATAATGTTAGTATTACATTGTAATTATTAAGTAAAGAAAGATAAATAAATACTTCTGTGTTGAATCGACGTAAAGCCTGTTTAAGTGACCGACTCGTGGTCGGCGTTTATATGTGTGCATGGTGTGTCTCTGTTCTTGTGCAGTCACTCCCAAAACACTAGTTATGGAAATAGCAAAAAATGCATTATTGTAGTCATTTTTATTTAGTTTTGACTTTTTGCTGTTAATTTGCTAAGTTTCAGGCAGTTTCCGTAGTGAGGATTTCTTGTTTTAATTTAATTTTATTAATTTAAGAGTTAGTTTTTGGCCTTTTAGTTGTTATTATATGAGATTTATATCAGCGGTAAAGAACAGATATTTCAGGTATTTAAAAAAAGAAGCCAAACTTTTGGAAAGCGGTTGACTCAGTCTTATAGACAAACAATACAAAAACTAAGCAAATTTCCTGCTATCATTTTTTCCTAGTTTGTTTTTCCCCAGGTCTGTTTATAATTTTTATTTGGTTAATTACATTTTGTTCACACCTATTTTTAGTTTTCGTTGACTTTAATAACCATGGAGGAGAGTCACAGTCGTTGCGAGCTGCATCAACGTGATGCTTGGTTGTATTTCTAGTGAGGTGCACATCAGGTTGCGGTGTATGGTTTATGGTTACCTACACCATATCTCTAACATTGTTAGTTTTGCGTCAGAGTTTGTCTCGTTGTGCACCTCTGGACTTCTTTAGGACAGTTTCTGTTTTTCAGATTGTTGTTTGTGTCACAAAGTTGGAGACTGTGAGCTGCAGTCAACATACATTTTTCTGTAATGCAGAATTTTTTTGCTGTGTTACTGCCAGCTGATTTCATTGGAAATGTGAACATTAACGTTATTGCATGAAAGGGCATGGACACGATGGTTAAATGCTCAGCTCGGTGATGATCCTTAGCTTGAAAGTTGTTTGTTTGGTGTTCGTGGTCGAAGCGAGACTTCCACAGAGTGATGATCAGGATAACAGTGCGCATGGATTTGAAGATCTTTTTGATCGAAGCTCGTATGTTAAATTATTTCTTTACCTGAAACCTCGACTCCAGACCAACTGGGTAAAAAAAACAACCCCAACACATTTTAATTAAGGCGAATCAGATAACATTTAAGCACTGGTGACGTAAAATCACATCACCAACCTCATCAACCCCTCGGCTTTCCTCTATTAATCTCTGCCCCCACTTCTCTCTCCCTGTCCTACTTTCTTCTTCTGTCTCTATGCTTTTTTTCTTTTTGACCAGCCCTTCATTGTTGCTGCTGCTTCTTTTTCTCCATTCTAACAGAGATGATGTAAAATACAGCCATAATAATGCATCCTACCCCACAGCTGGAAAACTAAGCAACAACAGCAACATCAACTTGACTAATTCCATTCAGCTTCCTGGACCTGCCTGGTACTAAAAAACAAACACACCAAAGAAAAAAACAAAACAAAAACAGAACAAAAACCAAAGCATCCACTTCTCTCCATCATTGCTCAGTCTTTAACTCTGGCATCCATTTTTTTTGTTTTGTTTTTTTGTTGTGACCTCACATCTTGCTTCTTCTACTCGACGGTGTGGATGAGAGACAAGTCGCGTCCCTCTGATCTGCTCCACCTCGTCTGCTTCATTTGTCTGTTTGGATGTTCATTTAACGTGTTCAGCCATCCATCTGTGTTTCATTGTGGATGCACTTGGCTCCATCTCTCATTGTCTGGCTGTTCTGAATGAAGGGTTATTATTGTTATTATTATTGTTATTATTATTGTTATTATTATTGTTATTATTATTATTATAATTGATATTATTATTATTATTATTATTATTATTGATATTATTATTATTAATATTATTATTATTGATATTATTATTATTATTTTCTTTTCTTTGTTCTGTTTTCATTTGTTTTTCAAAGGCAGGGATAGATGAATGCAAGGGACCAAGCTTTGCACAATCCTCTCTCCCTCTCTGAGCGGTGGGGATTTTAACCAATCAGCTCCTCAGACATCGAGCTTCGTCATGATTTAAACTGTGAACTAAGACGGCCGGTGTCTGTCGATCTGATGAATGGGAGAGAAAAGGAGAGGTCACTCTTGTGTAAAACAAAACTATCAGAGAGCTCACGACACTTTGTTTGTGTTTACCGATCTGAAAGTGATGACCTCTCTTCTTCTCGACACCTGGTTGGCTTAGAGGGAGGGGTGGGCGAGGCATGAGTCTATCTTAAAGTAACAGCTGCTCCTTCTTGCTGTCACTCAAACAGAAACCCCTCTGTCCTCCTCCCTTCTTTTTTTTTTTTTTTAATTTTTAACTTTTTTTGTTTTGTTTTTAACCCTTGAGTCTTCCCTGGACACTTCTACTCTAACAACTTCTACCATGTTTTTCTTTGTGTGTGGTTGTGATTGGTGCATTACAGAAGCAGAAGAACATCGCGGGAGCACTGGCTTTCTGGATGGCCAATGCCTCCGAGCTGCTCAATTTCATTAAACAGGACCGAGACCTGAGTCGCATCACGCTGGACGCCCAGGACATCCTCGCCCATCTGGTCCAGATGGCCTTCAAGTCAGTTTGTGTTTGTGGATGTGGGGACTGTGGGTGTAGATAATAAACTGTGTACAAAAGATATAGCCATTGTGATGATGCCCACAGGTTAATGCCTTCCCTTTGCGAAGCATCAAACAGTGTTTCTATTGGCATGTCATGACTATACCCTGGTTCATTCTACTTTGTGACTCTTAACAGAAACTGCAACTTACAAAATGTTCATCATTAATTCAATAAGAGATTAAATAAATACCTGTAAACTCACCACAAAACCGTTTCCTAGGGTCACAGGGGGAGGAAGCTGTTATCTTTTCTAGCTGCAGGAGTCGCCCACTGCTGGCCATTAGAAGGAATGCAGGTTAATGGGGTTGATCCAAGTGAGCAGTGTATTACTAACTTTGTCCTAAAAACAAATTAGTGCATCCAGTTAATAATGTTGCCCCAGTCAAAATGAATGAGAGGTGATGATGATGATGATGACGATGGACTTAAATTTATACATGTGAAATAAGCAGAGCTAGAATCTACCTCAAATTTTAGTTCAGTTTTATTAATATAGCACCAAAAGACAACAACAGTCACCTCAAGGGGCTTTATATTATAAAGACAAGACCCACGATCATAGAGAGAAACCCAACGATCATACAACCCCCTGTGAGCATGCGCTGTCTTTTATACGCAGTCCAAAGTGTCCATCCAATAGTGTAATGAAATCCTTATTAAAGTAACTTGTTAGTATAAAATGGGTGATAAGAAACAAAGGCTTGCAATCTTTTTTGTATAAATGACATTCACTGCCAGTTAGCAGTAATTTAAACTTCTCACTTGGTTTAGAAGCATTATGGAAAATATATGAACACACTGATAACCCACATTAAAATTTCTGAAAGCCTCTGAAAGTGTAAAATACGTTCAGGTGGTGACCTTTGATGTGAACAGTGTTGAATGACGTTGCAACAAGCTGTATTGTGTTGCTGCAGGTACCTGGTCCACTGTCTCCAGGCCGATCTGAACAACTACATGCCTGCCTTCCTCGATGACCCCGAGGAGCATAATCCACAGAGACCAAAGATCGGTAATGTGCAAACACACAACCACAAGAAGCAACCAAGACTGCTCATGACTAACAGCAACAATTCTGAATTAATTTAGGTGGTTAGCCCTTTAAAATGAAGACACGTCCACATGTTAATCGTATGTCATTATAGGTTTTGCTGGAGTTTTCACCGTTTTATGTTAAAATGTTTCCCCACTTGTTTGTCACATGTTGCACACATCTAGAAATTGTTAGCATTAATTTTCTCAGGTTCCTTTGGACCTTGTGAGACTGGAAAGAATATATTAGAAAATCTGAACAAAATATTTTTTTATTTCCTAATCGTCTCTCAGGTGTCTTGTTTTGTTTTTTTTTTTAAACATGCTTTGGACCTGTCTCTGATTTGGGATCTACTTTTCTGCAGAGTCAGTAGCTGCAGTGCCACCTTAAACTCAAAGAATTTTATTTTTTATCAAAACTCTCTGAAGTCAAGAATTTACACAAACATGGAACCCAAGATTTTTCAGCAGACTACAGAAACTCAGAGGAAAGCCTAAGTTGAACTCTGTAGCTATTGTTGCACACAGTATTTGTTTGCTTACAGGCCTGGTTTTAATAACCTGATCATACAGCTCCTGGAAACTGTCCATATACTTCACTCACATTTCATGTAGAGGATCATTGCGGGTTGAAAAGCCCACAGTTTTCAAGTCAGACAGTGTTGCATCAGGTGAGGAGTGAAACCAGGAGGCGCTTGTCTTTTTTCTGAGGATGTTGTACATATGTACTGAAAGTTTTCTTCCCAAAAAAAACACAACCTTCAATCACAAACTCCTCCACTTGGCTTCCTGTCAGTTTATTAAGATGATTATAATCCAGCTGGAAGATTGTATTTTTTTTTTTTAACACTGGAAGAAGTGCGCCTATCACAGAAGCAAAAGTACAAGGGCATGTAACCGGATTTCTACTGAGTGATCTTAAAAAACAAGCCTCACATGCCTCAGAGAATGACCTTGAACAGGATATAAGACATAGAGGGGAAGATTTTTTTCTCACGTCCCGGTTTCTCTTTTCAGAGGACGTTCTGCACACACTGACGGGGGCGATGTCGTTACTGCGGCGGTGTCGGGTCAATGCCGCTCTCACCATCCAGCTCTTCTCGCAGCTCTTCCACTTCATCAACATGTGGCTGTTCAACAAGCTGGTGACAGATACCGGCTCGGGGCTGTGCTGTCACTACTGGGGCGCCATCCTCCGGCAGCAGCTGAGCCACATCGAGGCCTGGGCTGAGAAGCAGGGTCTGGAGCTCGCTGCTGACTGCCACCTCAGCCGAATCGTACAGGTAAGATGGTAAACTGTAAGAGTCTGTGCAAGGGTGTGAGCAGATGGTCGCTAAAACAGATTTTAGAGGCATTTTCCTCAGTTGTGTCAGTCACACTAATTGGTTTGTTGCATCTTTTTAAAATATCTCCATTTCAGTTTTTTCTTATTACTATAAAGGGTTTTGAAAAGATAAAAAAAGAATATGTTCGACTGATTTACTTGTTGGTTGTGTCTGGAATTGTCCAAATTACAGATAAATGAAAGTGTATTTTTCAAAGAGAACCACAATTTTACTTTGAAATGTGCCTGAAATATTTATATGAACACATCCTTTTAGATTTTTTTTTCTTTTCTGTATTTTGGTAACTGTTTGGTAGTACCCATTTTCTGTTTTTAGGGAATTACGCAGACCTACAGAGTAGCTCCTGTGGAAGAGTAAGAGGGTCTTGAAGTGACAACTCCCAGAAAGTTGATTCTTTTTATCTCAACTTTACTTTTTCAGTCACAGAAATGTTTTGTTACTCATTCAAGTGACGACTACTGTCTCAGGTGACCGCAGGTTTCCCAAGTCTAATAAATGGTACATTTGCATAATGATTGAAACCAGCACAACTGACTAACAATGGGTCATTTTTTGCTATGACACCAGGAATTTCAAGAAAGTGGGTTGTGATGTTACTGCAGCAAAAAGTCAGAAAGAAGCCATTTGTAATTTTAAAAAGAAGAAGAAGAAACTGAACTGAAAAAAATCTCAGTGTGATTTTAAAAATAACAGGTTTTCCTTCAGTTTCTGGCCTATTCTTGACCCTGAACTGTACTCTATTTAATCAGAGAGCACAAATGTGGCCATCAGCTAAAGCTGTTAATGTGAACAAAATTAAGATTAAAATGAGTCAGTGAATCCACATGGAAGGAATCATTTCCTTTTGTGCGGTGTGCAGTTGGGATTGAAGGTTTGGGTGGGCTGCAGAAGGTTTTCAGGATCTCTAAATTGGCTGCGGCAGTCTGAAGTTTGGGAGTAGATGTTTACTACACTGCAGCAATTCAGAGAGAAAATGAAGAGGCTGAAACAAGAAATTAAGAGACCACAACAAGACATGGAGTTGGACTACCAACCGCTGACTGGCTATTACATCACTACAATCTCTTTTAGCAGCATGAATGCAACCAGGAAAAATGCTTTGAAGCTTTGCCGTTTCTGGAGGATCTCTTCTTGCCCAGAAGGAAACTTGTATAATCCTTTGTTATAGTAAACCTGAAATGAAAAATCGTTAAGAGGCAAAAACTCCAAACCCCTGCTCAGGTGCTTCTCTGGGACTCTGCTTTATCAGCTTCGACTGACTCTGGCAAAACAAGCAAACAACTCAACAGCTGTCATCAGTTTCTTATTACTGTCTCACAACACTCGCCTCGCCTACAGTCAGCCAGTCAACACAACCGCGGAAGTCTCTCTTCGTGTGCTTGCAGATAACGTTGCGACCACGTGTGGCCACTCTGTTTACATTCAAAACAATAAGAATGTGTTTGATTTACAACATATGTGTTTGTGTCCCCTTCCAGGCCACCACCCTGCTGACCATGGATAAATACTCCATGCAGGATGTGCAGACCATCAATAACACTTGCTTCAAGCTCAACTCCCTGCAACTTCACGCCCTCATGACCAACTACCACTGTGCCCCCGATGAGCCGTACATCCCACCTGTAAGACAAACGGCGTCTTTAAACATGTGCAGCGTTTTTATTGGATTAAATTAGATGAAACTGGAGTTATTAAAGTCAAACTGATTTGTAGAAACTATTTAAGCTCCAAACCAGAGGTTAGGTTGCCTGATGCGTGTGTTCTGCTGGTTTGTGTGTGTTTAGGAGCTGATAGACCACGTGGTGGCAGTGGCGGAAAACACAGCAGATGAGCTGGCAAGGAGTGACGGCAGAGAGGTTCAGCTCGAGGAGGATCCAGACCTCCAGCTGCCCTTTCTCCTTCCTGAGGATGGCTACTCCTGCGACGTGGTGCGCAGCCTCCCCAATGGCCTGCAGGACTTCCTGGAGCCTCTCCTGCAAAGAGGTAAAAAGTCAAACTATATGTGAATAAGCAATGAAGTCATATTGGAAATATATGAATGAAAGCCTTCAAATAGGTTTGTTTTATGAGAATGTAAATGACTTTGGTTAAATATGAGCAGATAATTTTTCTCAGGGTTTTTCATTTGTTTTTATTGTCATTGTTTTAAATAAAACCCTGTATACCTAAAGGAAAACAAACATTCATTGAATTATGTTTCATAACTGTGAGTTTTATGCCTCCTGTTTTTAAAGCTATGAGACGTACAGTGAGTTTAAAGATGTTATGTTGGGATTTAAGCATCTTAAAATAAAGCAGACCAAACAAAAAGCATCAGTAGCTGCTGCTTTAAAATAAGTTTGGTTGCTTTGTATGCTGTATTACTACACTCGACAATTAATGTTTTCTTATTGTCATGATTTCAGAAAAGCTGCTCACAGCTGAAAAGCTGCTAACAAAGGTTATGATCACTCTACTATCAGTGACATTATTTCTGTGTGCGTCTGTTTCCTCTGGTAGGTTTTTGTAGGTTAACGCCACATCCACGTTCGCCCGGCACCTGGACCGTCCACTTCGAAGGAGCTGACTGCGACAGCCACTTCTCCGCTGCTGACAACTCTGAAATGGTACGGCGTTGACGTTCAGTCACTCTCTCGCCACACTGTGCGTGCGTTTATTTATAGAGTTGTGTGTCAGTGCAGTGGGGCATCCTGGGTAAAGTCTGTGCCACAGAGGAGACTTTGCAGGTTTAGTAATGCTGACTCACAGAGACTGTGGAGACTGAAGTCTAAAGTAAGTCTGACAGCTAAGACAGCAGAAAACAAGACTAAAACTCTTGGAGCCACAAAGTGGCCGCAGGGTCTTTGATGGCTGCAGAGTGACTTTGGGACACTGTTCTTTTTTCAGCATTTACATTTTTATGCTGCGCTCTTGCTTTGAGTGGATGATCTTCACTTAGATCACATCCACTTTGCTCTGTATGCTGCCCAGACACGCCTCCATATTGTCAATAACGATGAGCTGCTCTTTGATACAAATATCTAATTGGCTGATCACATGGCAGCAACTCAGTGCATTTAAGCATGTCAACATGGTCAGGATGACTTGCTGAAGCTCAGACTGAGTCTCAGAGTGGGGAAGAAAGGTGATTTAAGCAACTTTGAGTGTGACCTGGTTGTTGGTGCCAGACAGCCTGGTCAGAGTATTTCGTACTCTGCTGGGATTTTCCCACATGACCATCTCTGGGGTTTACAGAGAATGATGTAAAAAGCAGAAATATCCAGTGAGCAACACTTCTCTGGATAAAATCGTCTTTGAATGCACAGGACATTAAACCTTGAAGGAGAAGATCACACTGGGTGCCCCTCCTGTCAGCTAAGAGCAGGAAACTGATTCTATAGTTCAGAACAATTTGACAGTAAGAGACTGAAAAATTGCTTCTGGTCTGATAAGTCTCAATTTCTACTCTGACATTCAGATGATGGGGTCAGAATTTGGCCTAAGCAACATAAAAGCATGGATCCATCCTGCTTTGAATCAGCATTTCAGACTGGTGGTGTAGTGGTGTCAGAGAGGTTTTCTTAGGACTTTTCGCACCAATTAGTATTAATTGAGCATCGTGAAAGGCATAAATACTAATGTGGCTAGTGTATACATTTTAATATTTCAGCTGTATTAATAAACTTCATCTGTATGTTTCTTTTTAAAGACAAAAATGACAATAAGTAGAGGATTTCACCGAGTTTGTACAGGAGATTCAGGGTAGCTGGGACTAGCAGCCAAAAACAGGTAAAATTCCTGTGCAGAAACTGAGCTGTAGACAATTTGACGGCACGACTGTCATAGTTTGACTATTTTTAGACACGTTTAAACCTGGAGACTGCTTTGATTTGAGTCCAGAGGTGTGTGTGTGTGTGTGTGTGTGTGTGTGTGTGTGACTGTGTCTGCGTGTGGTCTCTCAATCTGAATGCAGAGATTAAAGTGACTTCAAAAGGATCTATTTACTTTTCATAAGACACACACCAAGACACAAGCGCACACACAATTTAATCAACACTAATCACGCTGCTGAAGTTGGGGAGCCCAGAGCAGTAAATGAGAGACTTCTTTTACTTATGCACACACACACACACACACACACACACACACACACACACACACACACAGAGCCACTTCCTCTGTAATTGGTCTGTTTATCCCTACTCTACTATTTCATGACTGTAGTCTCGACAGGCGTCTCACACAACACACGCGCACACACACAGTGATTAATGGTGTGTGTTCAGGCAGACTGGTGGGTCGAGCTCTGCCTTGTCGACAGTTCTTAAGCGATCATTACAAGACCAGCTCTGCTCTGCAACCATATTAGTGTCAAAGATGTGATATTGTTTGCTTTTTATGTGTATAAATGTATAAACTGAATTATGTGGAAAAGTCTGATACTAAATTACAAGTGGAATAAGGAGAGCCTGCAGTGATGTTTGAGCCCATGCTGTTGTACTGTATGAAAAATGACACAATACTGAGTTTTATTCAGTTAACGTTCAGTAACAGTTGCCTCGGGGTGCTTTATACCATTATGTAAAGACTGAAAAGTCATTAACCTGTGTGCTGGACTTGGTAACTGTGGGAAGAAAAACTCCCTTTTAACAGGAAGAGACTTGGATCAGAACCAGGCCTCAGGGAGCGCTGCCAGTTTACCGTGACTGGTTAGGAAGCGAAGAGAAAAGGATGGAAGAGGCCAAAAATGTGTAATGAGCTGTGCCGCCTGAGTACGTAATGTCTAATTAGGTTTAAATTGTTGCGACCAGCTTTGAAGTCGGCTTTATGTGTTTATCAGATTTGAAGTGCGGCTCTCAAGTTTTTCCTAAGAGCTTAAAGTCGTTAACCTCGTTTGTTTGTCTGATGGGTAAACATGGGTATCAGTTAAGTTTAATTAATTTACTTGTGTTTAGTACAGCGGCGTGTCACACACAGCCTAATTGTGGGCCTGATAATAACCTGTACAGGGCTTGAATTCCTCTGGACCCAAATCAAAGCATCTTCCAGGATTAATTCCTGTGGAAATATCCGCACGGAATTACAGTAATCTAATAATGTTTGGGCCACTGTTGCATTAGTGTGGAACAGCTGGCCAGCTGCAGTCTCTCTCTGCAACGCTACAGGAAGTTTTGCTAGCATACACAGACTGGCTACAAAGGTGTGAACTTGAAGTCGTGCAGACAATGACTGCTGGCTAAAAAATTTAGATCCACTTCAACTGATGAGGAGAATGCTGAACACCAATCACGGCGGCATTCCCAGTGAAGTTAACGTTAACAGCGTTAGTACTTAGAATCCAGATGTGTAACAATAACTTTATTAGGGTGGAGCAGCAGTTCAGAGAGATTCAGCTAATTTATAATGAACAGAGCATGCCTTTTTTAATACGCATGGATAGATATGTCAAAGAACAGGGACAGGAGACATAAATTACAGCAGTGTTGTATTTACTGGAGAATGACAGAAGGTGAGGTAAGAATAGGACAACAGAAAACTTCACAAGTAAAGTTTTTGGAAGTAAACAGCAGCAGTATTTCATGATTATGATAGAAACAATATGTCTTTTTCTATTTAAAAAAATCAATTAAAAACCCATAAAATATTTCAAATCTGTAATTGATTCATTCATTTTCATTTACAGACATACCTTTTCGTTTATTTGTAACTTAGAAAGAAGAAATTGGTGACTTTGCAAACTGACTTGGGTTGTATTAGAAAGATTAGAATTGGAAGCTTTTATTGATATTATATAATGTACAATGAAATTGGAGCGCATCAACAACTTAAGAAAAAAATTGCTACATATACTAAAGTATATTAAAAGCACTAATGTTTAATAAGGTTAGGTAGTCGGGTAACAAATGGTGAGAGTATCCCAAATATTACACAGTGATTTACCAATAATCGAATAATCGAATAACTCAGGTGAGTAAATGTTGTACTTGGCACATCCAGAGAAGAGGTGTTGAGGTTTGGAAAGAAGCTCTTCCTGTGTCTGTGTCCTTGATTTGCCAGAGGGCAACAAGTTAAACAGATGAAGGCCAGGATGTGAGGGACCTTCAAATATGTCTGACCCTGCTGAAGAAGGAGGAGGGAGGTTTACAGGTCCTGTATGGAGGACAGAGCTAAGCCAGCGATCTCCTGAGCCGTGGCTCTGTTTCTTCCTCCTCAGCAGTCTCAGGAAGTGAGGTCGTCTCTGTACCTTTTTTAATAACCATTGGCAGCCCAGGTGTTCAGAAAGTACCCAGGAATTTGGAACCTTCTCCACACACTGATCACTGATGTAGGGCCACTTCTCGTCAGTGAAGTCGAAGAGGGTTTTTTATTTTTTGTTTGTTTGTTTCGGGTTTTCTTTGTCAGGTTGTACCTCAGATCTGAACTGTTTCTCTTTATAAACTTCAAGCAGAAAGTTGAATCTGTTTTCTAATAGAATTCAGCCTGATTGAGACGGTATGCAGCTGTAATTGTAGTGTACGAGTTGTCCTCTTGACTTGTGGTTGTTGTTTTGTTTGTTTCTGGGTGTTCCTGCAGTTTGAAGCACCAGTTAGCGACATGCAGGACAACAACACCAAACAAAAATAGAAAATACGATGCAGGCATATTTTTTTTATGAGTGTGACATGAGCTTTTGGAGTATCCTTTGTCAGAATATTTTTTCATCATGTGGGAAACCTCGGTAGCTCTCTTTCTTTGTTTCTCCATCTTTCCCCACCCAGTCACCCAGCCCTGCTCAAATGAGCCCTGCTGTGTATATGTGTATGTATGTGTGTGTGTGTGTGTGGGTAGCCATGAAGTGGTTTTCATTCTTGACTTGGTTCCAGCGACCACAGGTTCCTCTGCGGTCTTCCCCTTTTCCCCTTTATCCCTCCTTCATGCCTTCCCTCCCTTTTCTCATCCCTCCCTCTTTTTTCTTCTTCTTCTTTTTTTAACTCTACATTCTCTCACTATTCTCCTACATGTTTCAGACGAAGGGAACACGCTAAAGGAGAGTTGAGCTTTCCTCAGGCCTTTTTTCACGCGTTCACTCACAGTGAGAGGTTATATCCTCGCTTACAGTTTGTCCTTCCTGTCCATCTCTCTTTTCAGCCAATGAGGAAAGAGCCGGAGGTTGTCACAGTAACCCTGAAGAAGCACAACGGCATGGGCCTCAGCATCGTGGCCGCCAAGGTAAGAAATGTCACCTGGAAGTTTGTTAAAGAGTGAAAGTCAAACTTTGGCAGCTCTGAGATGTTTTCAGTTTGTTGGGATTTATTTATTTTTTAAAATTTTGCAGGAAACTTTTCCTAAAAAATGAAATCTAACACTGAAAAGTAAACGACTGGCATGCATTTGACAGGAAACCCCAAAATAACTTGGATGTTTTTATCGTGTGTGTGTGTGTGTGTGTGTGTGTGTGTGTGTGTGTGTGTGTGTGTGTGGTG